GAGACACATTGAATCGAATTGAATTGGTGAGTATAATTAGAAAGCAGAATCCGCAACAGAATTAGGAAAAAGGCGATGATATGATACTGACCAGCGAAAGAAAGGAAGAGGAAGAGGAAGATTAAAGTTAGTGAAAAGGAGGCCATGAGAAGCGCTGATTGCTGCTCGAAACAGGATCTGAAAGCCTCTCTTTCTCTCTCTCTCTCTCTCTCTCTCTCTCTCTCTGATGCGTGAAAGTTTGCAACTACCTCTGTCCCAAAACAAAATACTCATATTTCTATACCGACCATTATCGAAAAATTGACACAGTAAATTTTTAAGTTTAAAAAGATTCTCGTTTCTCTCACTTAATTCCAAACGTTCAATAGCAGTAAGATTAAGATAAGTCTATCTTATTCTTACCGCCGTTAAAAATCCAAAATGCAAAATCATAGATTTTTACCAGTGAGGAAGCAAGTATGTGGTAGGAGTGGGGCCCGGGGAAAATAGGGGCAAAAGTGGAAGATTGGAGGAAAAGACGAAAGGCTTTTATGGATGACCAATAGGAAGGACGAAATCTGGTCTCTCTTTCCAGTTCCAATTTATTTATTTATGATTTTCACCTCTACACTCTCCTTCTTCTTCACTTCAACCCCTTGTGGAATTTGGAAGATTAAAAAACCATTTATTTTTCACCCCTTTCCCATAAAATAACGAACTTATGACGATTTAGATATTATAGTTAAAGTTCTCTATTTTAAAATTCTCAATCTTTTTTACATGTAGATAGATAAATTTATGAGGGATTAAAATTTATTTATAAATTATAAAAACTAAATCATTGTATGATAAAAAAGAAGGATTAATTTTTGTGAGATTTTTCATGATGATGACTAGATTGTTAGGTTTTATGTACTATTTTAGTTATCTACTTCTAGCTTTTCCAACTTTTGTCCATCTCGGTGTACTTTTAAAATGCATGTTTTTGTCTCTTGTACTCCCTATTTTTGTTTATTTTGATCCATCTGTTTTTAAAAAAGTAGCCATTTTATTTTTTTATATCGTTTTTTTTATCACGATTTCAACAGACGCAATACTCATTAAAAGTTTTAGAATGTAGTCATAACTTTGTATTGAGAGAGTTTCATTCTGTGTTAGAATTTTGTTAACGTAGACTACGTCACTTCTCAAAAACACATGGATAAAAATAAATATTTTGAAAATACATGTACTAAAATCTACCGATGTGGAATATTATTTAATGAATATAACGTCATGACTACTTGGTCACAGACAGATACTAATTACCGTCCATCTAAAATCATGTTTGGTGGCCAACTTATAATTTCACTCGTTAAGAATTTAAGATTTTTTAAAACAAAAACAAAAAAGTGAACCGGAATTTCTTTCAATTTATGATTTATTTTCAATGATGTGTAAAGTTTTCCAAAGTGACAGTCTTGTAGGTCTTTTTTTTATACAATTAATTGCTACTTTAACTGTTGTTACTTTTTGGTTCCCTACTTCATTTTGTAACGTCATGCAAAAGATTAGTCAATATATATTTCATAACGTCATGCAAGATTAGTCAATGTATATTTCGTAACTTCATTTAGTTAATGATATTAGCATTGAAGATTATGTAAAATTATAATTTAAAGTTAAAAGGACTATTAATTTTTTAAGCATACGAATTGAGTAGAGACTCATCAAAGTTCATAAATAAATGAGTGAATTAATCAATATATTAAGTGCATAATATGCTTAAAGAAATTTTAGTTTTTGGCATTTTTTACGGTTTTCTTTATTTATGTTTATCGAATTTTTTATATGGATAAATTTTGGCAAATTCAAATATAGATTTTTTGGTTTTCAATTATTTCTCCTTTTTTTTTTTCCTTTTGAGTAGCTTCTTCTTTTTGTTATTGAATTTGTTTTCTCCTTAAAAATAATCAATTGGTATTTATTGGGCAACGGTTATATGTGTGCTTCTATTTGGGAGGTGTTTATTTGCAATCTTGTGTCTTTAATGCCTTATTTATTCTTTATGATCGTTGCTAATTTTGTAGATTGAGGATTTGTTTCTTAAACTTCAAATTTTGTTCCTTTTTTTTTTTTACAGGCAACTTCAAATTTTGTTTATCACAGAGTTTGTCTATCAAAGATTCAATTGAAATGAAAGAGGAGTCGATCAAGTACTAACATTAGATTGCTAATCTTATTTATCTTCAGGGTACGGTCTCGTGGACTAGTTTAGGAAACCGAGTCATATTTGAAACGTATTTGTGTGTCATCTCTCACTGTAGGATCTTTTAATTCACCATTATAATTGATAAATCATTTTTAATATCCACGATATTGAGAGTATTTTAATAGTTTAATATCTTTTCATTACACAATATGATAACGAACTGTTAAACTTGCCAAAGCAAGCATAGCTCAGTGGTAATTGACATATATCCCAACTAAGAGCTTATAAGTTCGAATCTCCTCCTCAACATGTTGTACTAAAAAAACGAACTGTTAAACTTCCTATTGGAGCATGATTTTGAAAAAAAGAATAAAGGAAAAAAAAATACTGAGATATTTTTTTAAAATTATTTAATTATAGAAACTCATTAAACTAGATTCAGGTCAATGAAATTAAAAAAAAATGTTCAAGTTAATGAAAACCTATAACTTTACATTTGTTTTCTTCATTTTGGTTGAGTTTTTTTCTTTTTAAGTTTAATAATATGTAGGGTGGAGATTTAAACTTCATATATATATATTTTAATCAATTAAACTATATTCGATCTAACTTATTCACTTGATTGAGTAAATGTACAACTATCTAAAGTCACGTTTAGTAACTAATAAGTTAAGTATTGAATTTCACAACATATTCAATTTTATGTTACAAATAAAAGAAAAAAACATTGTCGATAACGATGAAAATAAATGTTTAAGGTAAAGTTTAGAAACCAAAATATCATATTTAAAAGTTGAGCTAAAATATAACAATTAGAAATTAAATAACTAAAATCGTACGTTTAAGAAAATTAAAATAGAACATTTAGAAGCTTAAAAATTCAAACAGAAAAGAATGGGAGTTATTAACTTTAAACCTAAATGCAATAATTGAATTATTTGGTTATATTAAGGGAAGAATCCACGTGTTTGCATCATTACTTTTTATAATTAAAATTAAATTTTTTATTTGCAAGTTGCAAATAATATATTATTTAATATATTTACAGAATGCCTAAACAAGTGAAAACAAAGGGGTAATTGAAATTGAGTGATTTTTTTTTAGTAGAAATGTGGGGGTGGGGGAGTATTTTTTTTATTTTTTTTATTTGAGATTTACATCGATTATCACTGTACTTATCCCGGTGAGAAATTTTTTTTTTTAATTGAATTTCACTTAATAATATTAGTAATAATTTACTTTAAGTTAAGAATTTTTTTTTTAAGATTATATTTTTAAGTACAAAATTAAATATAGTATTATCACTTCCACTAGTTCTAACCAAAATTATGTCTCGGACACATCTTTAATAAATAAATTTTTCTTTTGAAAAATTAGACAACTCTTTGCTTGGAAATATTATTTTCTTGATTAAAATTTGCTAGGAACATTACTTTTTTTTTTTAAGATAAAATAGACAAGAATTAAGGCCCCAAATTTTAATTTAATATACAAGGTCCTTAAAATATCCTCATTATTCCTTAACAATTTTACATTAGATTATGTAGAATTTTTCAAACAAAGCCTAAATAATTACATCATTCTACTCCAATGCTTAAAAGTTAATGATGTATCAGTCGAAACTTAAGAAATAAGTCGATGTTTAAAATTGGTAGGTAATGGGATAAATTTGTTAGTTTCGTTACACGAACTCGAACTTATAAAACTAACTTATCAAAAATTACTTTGAACATTAGAAGCCTAGCAAATGTGACTCATCAATGGCATTCTCAAAGTTCCATTTCAATCTCAGTAATATCCAACAGTTCAATAGAATACAACATTTCCATTACCAGGAAAAAGTGTAAAAAAGGTTTTGATAAAGACATCTCAATATTTAGTGTACCTGCTGCTTCCTTGGTACTTCATGCACCACTTTCGTCCTCCCAAACTCGTTCTTGATCTGCTTTGGAGGGCGACCGAAACCTCGGTAATCGAGCTTCTGTTCTAAAAAATGCAGGTTGGCAAGAACAGTGCAGAACCTGTAGGGAAGAACTGCTGTCTCTGTTTTCTTCTCAAACCAAAAGTAGAATATTACAGATTCTCATTACAGCACAAACAAGAAAATATAAAGCTTCATAACACATGTCATCCCCATAAACACCGCCAATATTCGTATGAAGGGAAAAAAAAACCCCAAACTTTCTGAATAAAGAAAAAAAGAGAACCCAATGAAACAAGACACTGTCAAGCACCAGATGTAATGTACTGTGACAATTGAATCAAGGGAAAAAAATGGAAACAAAAGCCACTCTCCATCCATTCAAAGGAAATAAATGAAGTAAAAATGTAGAAAAGAGAAAGAATCTGTTTGTAACTGTAATTCAGCCTCCTGAGTGAGAGACTGGAGTTGTTTCAAAGCGCCCGTCCTTAAACGCATTAACAAACTGTTGCGGCAAAGCATGCTCCACCTGCAGAGATAGAACAAGGCCATCCGCATTATAATATAATTCCATCATTTTTCCAAATAATGTACTTTACAAGTTCAACCAGCAACCAGGGCAGAATCGAAACATCAGCAGAGGTGAATCTAGAAATATTTCACAAAGTTCGAATTTGCCGCATTAAGCATGCATCAGATCAATCTAATCATTCTACAGCATCAAATTTCGTTCATATGAAACTTTTTTGGCCTAATCAAGAAGATGAGTAGCCGAAGACACTGTTGAAAACATTTGATTTTTCAGGATTTCAATAATTCAATTGGAAGTACAAGACTTAATGACTTGGGTTACCAGTTACCGCCACCGGTGTGGTTCTGGCTGTATTGACCCACGGTAACTGGTTATTTCTTACCTCAAGACCAAATTTGTTATTGCGCGGTCAACTTGTAAACAGATTTACCGGAAACTATTCTGGTAATAAGGTCTCCTTTGGCAGAATTATTAATCAGAAGTGCTAGTGAGGGACAATCTACCTTTAACTCGTTTGTATAGTTTACACACTTCTGTAATTTATGTAAGTGCACTCCCCATCAAGGCATTTATAATAAAAATCATAGATTTGTAATCAATTATTTATGATTACTCAGGGGAGGAGAGTATTTCATTGCTACAAATATGGATTAATTGAAAAATAATACCTGTATTGGGATTTCCCTTCAACTTCACGAAATTTTATTCGTTATTTTTCACTAATATTTTACGGGGATTCTTCTAAGAGAAATGGATTAAGTGAGTGTGTGACTTGAACAATTGATTGGATTGGGCCATGTGGATATGTCATTTTATCACAAGGAAAAAATCTATAACATGATGGGTGAACTGCACAGAAGTAAATGGAATGTTTTCAAGGCCTAGAACCAAAGAAGTTTTCCATTACTCAAACAGCAGAAATGAACAAATGAAAATAACTGAGTAAGAATTTGACCAAATGCCAAAACAAAATCAAGATCATAAAGCAGGAACAGAGGACCGTACCCAATCACCATCAGACCCTGCACCAGGAACTAAAACATTGATCTCACTGGACTTGGCAGTTGTAATGGATGTCCCCAAAGAATCTTTGCTTAAATAAAGTAGGCAGCCTCCAGTATTGTCCACAGAAATAGTTGGAGCAGAACCCTAGAATAACCAGCAAATAAAAGAGTGAAATCTTAACAACTCCATAGTTTTAAAACTAGAAATTACATCAGCCACTGTGATGCTCTCCTTTCACACAATATGTAAAAGGCGCCTTCATTGCTTCATATAAAGCCAAATCCAGTCATAACGGATAGAAGGTAAGAAAAATTAAGCCATTAGCTTCAAAAATAAAGTAGAATCACCCAATTTGAGAAGGATAAAATACCTGACATTGCACTTCAACCCCATTGGAGTTTACAATCTCAAATGCAGCCACAACATCCTGTAAAATACAAGTTAAAAAATTAAAAATAAATCCATATCACCAGAATTCCTTTTTTGCAAACGGTCAATTTTTTCACTCAATATCACATACTAACCGTGAATACAACTCCCATTTTTGTGCATTTGTCAACAGTTATGTTGTTGACCTTCCCTGCAAGTCGAAAATATTAGTTTAACCAGAGCCATATTAAAAGATAGGGTAAAAGGGAAACAGATCATGAGATACATAATTACCTTGAATCTGCAAAACTGAATCTTTGCATCCAAAAATATATACAGATTGTTTGGCGTCACAATCATCAATCACCAAGTTTTTTCTTCCAATTTGGTTCTCAACAACCCACCTGTATGAATGTGTAGATAGAAAGAATAAGTAGTGTAGGACACCTACTGTCATCAATATCTTATTCAAACCACAGAAAGTAAACTTACTTTCGACCCATTTGAAGTTCTAACTTTGGAGGACCTGCTTTGGAAAACGAAGGAGAGCTTGTACGACCACCTTTCTCACTGGAACCCACAATACCAACTCTATCTGCATGATTCTTTGCCTTCATGTCATCTGTTACTTTCTTCAGACCTAGTGGCAGAAAAAGTGAATAAATATGTTCAAATACTTGCAAAAGAGAGAGCCTTAAAAACACATGAAAATGGAGAGCATTTATAAACTTGAAGACAGCAATACCTGCAGTTACAGGCTTCCCAGAATTAATTTCTTGAAAAACAGCAGCCATCCCTTCTTTTGGCTTAGAAGATGAAGCCTGAGAAGGTTCAGAGCTGAAGAGCGAAGCTGGGGGAGGTGGAGGTGGGGCTGGAGCGCTTGGTGCAGATGCTTTAGAAGGAGCAGAAGCTTTAGGACGAGCAGAAGCAGCTTTTTTCCCAGTAGCGCTCCATACTGGTCCCAAAGGATAAAAACTTTTGACATAGTCTCTTAAACCCGGCAAATAGAGCTCCTTCATAGCTTTGGCCCACTCAACATGATTTGGATCTTTGTTTCTGTACTCTACAAGAACCTGAGTTGAAGAAGTAAACAGGTTGGTAACAACCCATTGATTTAGTTTTTGTTCATGAAAGAAACCATTGTACAAAGCCCAAATAACATAGATAAAATATATACCCAATAACAAAATTGCAATGTCAATATACACTAGCAGAATTCAGGCTAGTGCATAGCATGTTAAGTCAAATCTCAGAAGAGTGCCAACTGCCAAATATTAATAATCAAAATATGTAATTCATTCCTCCAATAATTGCAAGGTTAATGGATTTTGATGTCCTGCAATAAATATACCTTTTGTGATACAAGAATGGGAAGACYCCTTTAGACGGCTAAGATATTTTGTGCTAATATGAAGTAGTTTCTAGACCCTATTGTATAAAGTAGTGTCTAAACCCTATTGTATCATGCCTTATACTCCTTGAGCAAGGGGAACTAAACAGAATTTACTAACAAAATAAAAAATTTGAGGAAACAATAGCTTACTTTGTTGTTGTAAAATTCAGCCATTTGCCAACTTTCTTCAACGTGGGCAATGGGCATGCTCATACCTTGAAAAATCATGAAGCAATTAGAAGGAATGAAGTGAATACACATCCAACGTGGATATACTCAACTACAACTTCATACCACAGTCTTTGCCAGTAAATGCAATCCAAGCTAAAGCAGATAGACTATCAGCTGCAGCTTTCAAATGGTTGAAGAAATCAGATCTCCTTCCTTCTGTAAGTGCATTTGCTTTTATAATAACTTCGTTCAATGGCTTCAGAAATTCACCTAAACCTGCCATGTCCGGTTTCTGTGCAACAAAGTAAACAGATTGAACTTCAGAGCAACAAACTTCACCTAAAAATTTCTACTGAAAGTTATTACTAGACACTCTTATAGGTATATAATTTATTGAAATGTTCGGTCCTTTCTTTTCTTTCTTGTTTTTTCTTTAATAAAAAATACAACACTCATCAAAAGAAATGAAAGTACAATTGAGGCAGCTAGAGCAAACTACACAAAAAACTAGCAAATCTTCCACAAAAAGGTTCTATCTCCTTTACGATTCCACAATTAACACAATTTTACATCATCCCTTGTTATTTATCAGTTGATAAGCAAAGCTATTGGCCCATTGTTGTCCATCCTCCTCACTTATGACTTATCAGTTATCAGAGGACGACAAATGTCAACCAAAGTAGAAGTCCAGCATAAAAGTACCAATACTTGAATGTAGAATGCGAGGTTTAGACATGAGTTGACTCCTACATAGCTGAAATTGTTAATTCATTACAGTAAAAATCTCTCCCAAAGCATCTCAACACAATTTGGTAGATTCCTGGACCGATCATACAAGATTTCCACTATCATTCCTACAACCCGTATAGAACGATTGTTAAAACACAGCTAACAACTAATCCAATACGAATAAAACAGTAATCAGGAAACCGAAACAAGCTACTAGTGAAGAAGAAAATTGAATACCCTCTTGGAACAAGAATGCCGCAGCTTTCCAGAAGCAAGCCAAAACTACAAACTTAAAACTACAATTTCACATTTATCTTCGAGAGCACAAAAGAGATTTAACAAACCTGAGTTTGCTTGACCCTAACGAGAAGCTCCCTTTGAACAGAAAATGCTTCTTTCAAAACCTTAGTAACCTCCAGAACCTGCCCCCCAATCTTCTCGGCGGCGGTCGTAACCCTTCCAACATACTGTCCCATCAGATCGTCAAAAGCAAGAATCGAGGGGTCAGACACCGCATCCTCACCGCTCTCCGGTGCACCGCCGGGCCGGAATCCAGTAGATAAGGCCTCAAGCCGAGTCACAGCCGACTCCAATCTCTGAATCAGCTTCTCATCCATAGTTCGTTCGAACCCAGAACTCTCCCCCTCTCTCTTTCTCAAAAAAGCTCAGATCTGAGAGACAAACAATGGTGGGTTTCACTGATTGGAATGAGTAAAAGTGGTGGCTGATGGGTATGGTCTGTGGGGGTCAAATTTTTTTGGTAAAATAATTAATTTAGTTGAAAAAAGAATTGGGGTTTCGCTGTGGAGTCGCCGAAAGAGGATATTGTGAAGAAAAAGGAAGATGATTTGGCGGTACCCACTGAAGAGAGTGCGACTTCCGGCGGTGAGGTGGACGCGTGGCGGATAAAGAGGCGATTTTTGCTCGTGTGGGCAAGTGGGAACAACCGTAAACATCGCTGAATTAAGTCTTCATCATGTTTTTTCTCTTCGTCTTATCTTAATCATCATCATTATAGTGTATAATGAAGTTTTTAGTTTACTTAAATTGTGTTCATCACTGTTGGAAGAGAGAGATAAATGTTGTTTGATCATGTGCACGCAGCATCGTCGAACATGTAGTCATGTTAGAGAGTGTATTTCATCGTAATGTCTCTATTGCTTATTTCGATTTGAGCTTTTGAGTTCTTGTAATTTCGATATAGTGGTGAGTGTGCATTCAACTGTTCTTTTTTATATAAGTAAGAGGAGAAAGGTACGGTAATTGTTGTTTAAGGCAACCTAAAAAAATATAACATTAATTATGGTTGCTCTTGTGTATGTAATTTGAAATAATCGTTTAAGTTGTATCGATATACTAATGGTTATATCTATTTATAGTCGTCATGAAGATGTGAAATGATCAATCAATGTAGATCATCACATCACGTCATTGAATGTAAGTCTCATTAACTGTCATGAGATTGTCAGGTGGTGTTGTAATTTTATTCAACCTCATACTTTTATTAGATAACCATATTCGAGTTTGACTATCAAGTTTCAGTATTCATATTAGAGCAACTTTTCAATCTCATGGGTTATGACTATCAACCTCTCTATATGATCTCATAAAAAGTATATTTTATCTTATGCATACTTTAAAGATGATATATTTAAATTATGATTTTAGATTATAGTTCTTAAGAAGTCTATAAAAAAAAATTTGTTAAAAAAAAGGTAAAATTTTTCAATGTATAATAGACCAAATAAAATAATTAATGACCAATTTTTTTTTTTTTTGAGGTAGTTTAATAGGAACGATATTTTTATTTTAAGGAATACTTCGCGAGATGTAGCTGATTATTATTTTTCAAAATTATCTTCATTTGATTAAGAATGCTAGAAAAACTTTACCAAATAGAAGGGAGCAGCTTTGTACATATTTCTTAATTTAAAAGAATAAATAGTTTGGCCCAAAAAAGGGTCACCACTCATATACATAAGTTAAATATTTAATAGAGCATGAAAGATGATTCATCCAAAATTGTTTTTGGAGATGATTTATTCAAAATTATCGGTGCTTCTCAAAACTACATTAAAGATATACAAAATAATCCAGTTCTGATGGGTAAGGTTTAAAATGTTGATGTCGATGAAAACATTCATTCTCAATTTTAAGGATATGTCGATGAAAATATTATTAGAATGTCGATGTCGATGAATTTGAATATTTATGAAAAAATTATATATATAAAAAAACACGACAAATATTTTAAAGTAACAAATTATTATTATTAAATAAGTTAAAAATTATTAGTATTAATATTATAGTCATACTAGTGATATTTTGTATATTTTATCAAAATTTTTTACAATACTACAGAAATATCGATCCACTTCTTATATATCAATGTCAAATTCATAGACGTATGTAAATATTGATGTACAAGTGAAGCTATAACAATGATAAAATAATAATAATAAAATAAAATGTTTTTGTTATGGAGAGAAAGAGGAGTACCAAGGAATATTTAAGACGGAATCAATTTTTCTACTTTCATTTTTCAATGCCTTCAAAACTGAGAGAGTAAAAAGTGAATGAGATATCATTTAAAAAAAAAAAAGAAAAAAAAAACAAGAATGGAATGCCATTTCCTTCGTTTTGACAAAGATACTATAAAATATATTTTTAAAAAAAAAAAAAAGAATATGGATGAACGAATAATATTAATATAATATTACATGAATAATATACTAAAAAAGTTATTTTTGTGTATTTTTTTAATTGGATTATTTGAACTCAGAAAATGATATATTATAAAAACTTGAATTCTACTAACATGTGGTCCCATGGTTTAGTGGTTAGGACATTGGACAATTCAGAAACCCGATTTCATATCTCGGTGGGACCTTTTTTTTTGCTTAGGATTTTCCATTTTGTTTCAAGCAAATCCCTGGTTGAATTTCTTTTTTCTTTTTTCTTTTTTAGAAACATATTAGTAATTTCTATTATGTTATTCATATTAGTAATTTTACGATATAAAGGTACTGATTAACACTTTTATTCTAGAATGAAAATTTAATGAGTATTCTTCAGATAAGCTATCAATTACACATGCACATATCCGAGTATGAAGATGACTTCCCTATTTATACCGATGGTAAATGAGGTCTACTCGGAAGTTATAATACATCACGACAAGAATTACAATTTAAGTTCCGCTATCATGAAATGACAGTTGATAGGAGTTATCATCTTGGAGTTTTCAACCATTGTCAAGGTTATGTTGAGGTCTGAAGACTTTATCTCGTCCCTCTCCCAAAGATTCATCTCCCGCCATATGGATATTGCACCTTGTTGATGTTAAATCCTTCTATTTATAAAAATATCGATACCGATGAAGCCTAATTCCAAGGTAAAACCAAATATTCATAATTGATATTTTCTTTTTCCAACAAAGGGAAGGATTCTTTTTTTATTGGCAGGAAAGCAACTAATCACAATAATCAATATACATTCCCAAAAAAGGCCTAAACCAATAAAATAAGAGAGAAAGAAAGAAGATGAAAGAGGTAAAAAAT